AAATGGTACGGACTTCTACACACGATCGTACCCAGAAAGTTCAGACTTTTACTGAAACAGTGGCCTATAAAAAGAAATGTTTAAGCTTGCCGCACCTTGCCGCAAATTATTTTTAAAGGTCGGGGTACAGAGGCGAAACGAGAAAATTGTGTACAACACTGCTACCAGACTAGTCTACTACCACATGTTATTGTACGCAAATGGGAATGGCGCCAGACTTATGTAGTCTGGCATGCGGTAACACTTATAATGCTTGCACGCACTTGGAAAGCCGAAGCGCAGGCTATGCGAAGATGCTACGTACGTGAGTACGAGTACGTATAATGCAACCATTTCCAGTTCATTCGTGCGTATACATTGTATGCGTTCGTTTCACGGAACCCACTGCGGCAGAATCTCGCGGGTTTGATACGGTAAACAAATAAAATTAATTAGAATAGAAAACACATCAAAATAGGCGGCCTCGAGCCGGCCTCGACCGATTTGCCGAGGCCGGAAGGCTCCGAGGCCAAGGCCAAGGCCGAGGCATTGCACCTCCGAGGCCAAGGCCGAGGCCGAGGCCATGAAAATCGGCCTCGAGGCTGGCCTCGAGGCCGAGGCCGGCCTCGAGACCTCCAACACTGGTCTTTGGCTCTGCTAACCCAAACATCAGGTCGATTTGTAGGGTTGGCTCTCGTCCCATATAGATGAAGAAGGGTGACATGTCGGTTGATGCGTGTGGCGTACAGTTGTACATGAAGAGTAGCTCTTGAAGGTGTTGAGGCCATCTTCTCTTATGCTCGGGTGGCAGTGTGCGGAGACGGTCATGGAGAGTCCAGTTGAACCGCTCGCACTGACCGTTCCCCTGTGGGTGATAGGCTGTTGTCCTGCTCTTCTCGATGCCACATAGACCACATAGATCTTTTACCAGTTGTGATTCAAAATTTCTCCTCTGGTCACTGTGGATGCGGCGTGGAACCCCAAACTTCTGGAACCACTCTTGGACAAGGACTCTAGCAACGGTCGTCGCCTTCTGATCCCTACATGGAATAGCCTGTGAAAATTTGCTGAACACGTCAGTCATCACCAAGACATTCTCTCTGCCGTCTGTTGCTTTTGCAAGAACAGTGCAATCAATTACCAAGATTGCTCAGCCAGAAGTGTTCCCATGGTGGGCCTGATATTTGGAGCCGGGGCCTCGGCAACAGTGCATCACTCGCACTTCTTCCACCACTTCTTCCACCACTTCTCCACATTTGTAGCCACCCCCGGCCAGTAGAATCTTTGTTTGACCAATGCTAGGGTGCGCTCCTGTCCTTGGTAAGTCGGCGCATGTCGTCCGCCCACTCTCGTACCTCCGGGTCTTTGTCGCTCTTAGGCCGCCCTGCCAGTTTTGTCAGCCGGCCTCTTGGCACGACAAGTATCTTCGGCATGCTGGCCTTCCCTTTCCCAGTTAATATGGCGTCCAGCTTTGCTGCCAGGGACTTTACCTCCTCCTGTAGCGCCTCCATCGGTGTTGTCGATCACGCCACCCACCCTTTTTTGTTTTTGTTTAACTTGTATCCTAGCTGTCTACAACACATGTGACCCGGAAGTTGGTTCTTTATACAAGTTTATTTAACAGCAGGAAAAAAGGGTTGATGGGTATTAAAGCAGGACAAGGATGGGATCAGAGCACTGAGTTCTTGACTATATGACTGGAGCTTGAGAATAGTTGGATGTTTACACGCTGATGGCTAAGAATGAAATGGTGATAGTTTAGACTTGACCACACTGACCCCATCGCAGGGCCTAGGAACCCCAGTGGGTGGCTGTTGCTAGGGCAACCAGTGGGCCTTCCTTGTACCACGGAGATAAACTAGTCTTAAAGGGGCAGAGCACTGAAAGTGCCTGGTCACACTTATTTTAGTTTTCTTACTTTGCTCAGATTTATTACTTGTACCCTTTTAACCCACAAGTGTCCGGACAACAAAACCTGTCTACATTTCAGCATTGATTTGCTGATGAAAACACCCCCCCCCCCCACCCGCAAAAGTTCCTGGATCCGCCCCTGGGAAGATACCCAAATTTTGAGATAGATGTACAGCCCTCCAGGTATGCACGGGCCTAGGCCCTATTCACACTAGAGCCTCTCAACCCGGGTTGAACTCCACCCTGGGCGTACCCAGTGCCACCCCGGGTTGAGTTTTCATTTTTCAACCCCTCTTTCAACCCATATCCTTTTGCACTGGTTATGTGGAGACCAAATTTTTTTCCCCTCGGTTACCATACTGTTTTGAACTCTGGCGAGAGTGTTTCTCAACCCTGGTCTGGAGCAGGGTTGGGATCAACCCGGGGCGAAATCAATCTCAGGGTTGACGCAGGGTTGGTGCAGGCTTGATAATGTTCACGTGTGAAACGCCGTATGTTTTCAACCCGGCGTCAACCCACGTCAATTAACTCCTCAAGATTTGTCTGGTGTGAAAAGGCCTGAAAGGGCAGTCAACTGGAAAATAATACACACACACAGAAACTTAGCGAAAATTTGTTGTAAACATATTTTCTCTGCGAGTATTACGCCTACGGATTTCCAACTTGTTGGAGATTGAAACAAAACCATCCAGCTCTCTATAGCCATGTACAATTGACTGGCAATTTCTGCTGACAAGATACCGAACATTTGTTGTGTGCGTATTTAAAATATCAAAATACTCCTGTATTTGTTCTACATTTGTTGGAAACAGTCCTGGACAGTGTTATATTACAGGGACAAAGGGACACACAAAGCATTGTCCTCGAGAGTAAAGTAAAACAAGAGTGGGTGTTCTTGTACACAGAGTGACTGAAGGGGATATAAAGTTAATAATAGATGGGCTCTACCTTTCTGCAAAGTCATCCAGAACTTTTTGAGAAAATTTTGAGGCTTTTGGAAGAGTTCAGGTAATTCAAATGTAATGTACTAGTACGGCAGATAGGTGATGGGGTTGTGCCTTTGATGATACAAGCATGGAATTTGGCACACAGTCAGAGTATGTCATGAGAAAGATATTTGGCTATAGGGCCATCGCAGATTTGTCCTTTGAAAAATATATAGGTAGAATAACAAGCAATGGCAGCCATTTTGAAAATGTTGAAAATTGCTCGTTATTCTACCTATAATTTTGTTCTTAGGACAAATCGGTGATGGCCCTGTAACCAAATGTCTTTCTTAAGACCTACTCTGACTGTGTACCAAATGCCATGCTTGTATCATGAAAGAGAATGATCCCCCAAATATTTCCCCTATCTGCCCCACTATACAAGCCAGTATGAACAAGAAATGTTGTTTATAGGCCAACAAACTTAATCAAATCGTTGAAGATACAGTAGGGAATGGTTGATCAATGTAATGTATATTTTTAAATAGAATACAGATTATGTAAATTCAATTGTATTGAAAGAAAAAAAAAATCATGTTCATTTATTTCATATTTCACATAAGGAGTTTTCACACTAATGGTCACCGCTCAAAAAAACCCACTACAGTGGAACGCCGCTATAACGAACATCGTGGGATCCCCTGCAAATATTCGTAATAACGATCGTTCGGTATAGCGATTTTGAACCGCCGGTACCCTCTTTTGACCAATAGTGAAGTCACTGAACTGGCATTTCTCACATCCCGCGGCCACACGAGGAGTTGTCACAAAACATTAGCAACGGGTGGTTTTCCCATTTATTCCTGGGGGAAATAATAGTCATTTATCGCTCTTCAGCATTCAAACACGATGTAACCATGGGTGGTTTGATGTTCGGGAATTAAAAGTGGCCTAAGCAGTGTTTAATACATGTACAACCGGTATTTTTTTTTTTTTTTTTTGGCTAATCTGCTGACTGTTTTTCAACAAGGATGTTCGGTACATTTTGTACATTAAAACCGGGAGCAAAGGATGATGTTCGGAATAGCCGAATGTTCGATATAGCGGTGTTCGGTGTAGTGGCGTTCCACTGTAATTTGAATATACTACAAGACTGCATTTCATTTTGTTTGGGGCTCATTTATTCATATTTTAGGTAAAAATCCTTACGTATTTCAGTATGTTCTTTACATTACAATACAGTGTACAAATCAAGTATCTCTGTTCAATATCATGTGGTGACTTGATTAGCCCCAACCTTCCCAAATCCTCTTTGAAAAATGGAGGATTTTGCAGGATTGAGGCTATATGGCCAAAAATCTGCGGCTGATTTTGCATGTATGATGTAACTTAAAGGGCAAACGCAAAGTAATTTTATTAATGCAATCCTTGAAAATGAACCTTTGTGTCCCATTTTACCTCATTTTCAATTTCCGTTTTCCCATTTTGAAGGGTATTAGTGCCATTTTGGTTTTTATGCTAATGCATTTCCATATTTATGAGCAAACCTGTGATGTCATTTCGGGCACAAACCACAATGTTACAGTATTTCAGCACAAAAAAAGTTGCTACATGTAGAATTTTTGATATTTTTCTGTCGTGAAGTTTGTTTTCTTTGGCGATCTGACGTTGTGTCAGTACATGGCAGTAAGCCATATGAGCAAACCTTTCTCACAAATGTTTTCATTGAGCAAATGTTGGGTTCACAATTTGAACAGAAAACCCCTAAACTGAACAGTGTCTTACTGAAATGACATCACAGCAACAATGCCTAAAGAAGTGCACTTTTTAGTGAAAGTAACTAAAAAAGGATGTCAAAGAGGTTTCATACAGTATGTAAGAGTAGAAAGTTGCACAAAATGTGTTCCTAAGAAAAATTCATTGTTTTGCCCCTGAATGATCTAATTCTGTGCTATAAATATGTACACTACTTAATAAGACGCAATTAAAAAGCCAAAAATGACGAAGAATTGTATTGGGCTTTCATAATATCTAGCGGGTAAATCACACAGTGGCGATATACATGTATATGAGAAACCTACAGCTTTACACCTACAGATTAACAGATTTTGCATTATATTTATGTTTGAATCAATTAGTTCAATAATTAAAATGGATTTTGTTGTTAAATATTTGCTTTTGCTGTGTTTGTTTGCATAATTACTATGTGCATGTAATATCGTAAATTCAATTTAACACTATACATGTATAAATATATATACAGTCATCAAATTTTTTCATAGACATATTTTGATATAAAACATATCTCGCAATTAACTTTCCAAAGTAATAACAGGTTTCAGTTCATTTCAAAAAAAGGGGATGGGGTAGCAAACACAAAAACGGTGGGGGGGGGGGGGGTTGATAAAAAATATTTCAGTTATTTTGAAAGACAACGCTATACTATACAGCCTCAAAGTATCCTGCTAAAACTAACATTGCACTTGTCTCTCCTATTTTACGGTTCATAATATTTTCTTCCAAATTTTAGTGTGTCTTTGATCACTGGAACATGCACGTGCAGATTCAGTCTTGTGGTTTTGATTTTTTTCTCCCGAAATTTAGAGCATGTTCCATCAATTAAAGGGACACTACGTCCTGGAAAGCGCACAATTGGGCAGCAAAACATGCTTTAAGCCCGGTTCATACTTAGCGCAAATGCGAACGCGAATTTGTGACGTCATGGCAAGTATTCGTGCTGCGAATTCGTAAAAGTTGAACATATTTAAACTCAGGCGAATTTCGCAGCGAATGTTTCATGACATCAAATTCGCTTCGCATTCGCATGAAGTATGATCCGGGCTTTAAACAGCCGACATTCGGTCCTCTATCCTCACAGGTACCCATTCATACTCCTGGGTGGAGAGAGGCAATTGTAGTTAAGTGTCTTGCCCAAGGGCACCAACACCATGTTCCTGGCAGGGTTCAAACCCACGCATCATCGTGAGTCGAACACAGTCACCACTGGACCATGGCATTTCTACATCATGTTAAAGTACGACTGTGCGTGCATGCCGTGTCTCTCACACTGGAGTGGTCATGAAGTGTCGTCTATTATTAGTTATTCACGGACAGAGAGCATAGCCTCAAAAGAATATGGTCGTCCGGTCCGTGTCTGTGGTCACTGTGGTGACCAGGACTACCGTGTTGGTCGTGAACTCGCGGGGCATTCTTGAGTACGCCCGCGCCATCTGGTCGGCTACGTGGTGGTTCATGGCCCAGATGTGCAGGATCTGCTTGTGCCAGTCTTCCAGAGAATTCCGAGTGGAGTTTACGATACCTGGAAAAGTAAAAAAGATCAGATTGAATTTAAATATGAATTTGACTTGAGGGGGAATTGGACCTGTGACCTCAGAACACCGTACCAGTGCTCTACTAACTGAGCCCTATGTAACGTATAGTATAGCGGTTTTCAAATTTGAAAACAGCTTTGCTCAACACACGCTTGTCGGAATCCACCTGTATGTTCTGCGACTGACTGTCACTTGTGGCTTAAGACTTGTTATGGGCTCCGTGCACCAACAAAAGAGGGCGCGTTTTTATCACTTTTGAAAGCTGTGTGGATGGAACACATAGCGTGTGCATACTGTACTGTACTGGTTCCCGTGCCAAGTACGCACAACTTCCTGAATGCGCCAAAGCTATTAGCCACAGCATCTTCGCGTGAGCGTCAGGCAGCGGTTGCACGCGAACACATTCCAATTTCACTTGCGATGGTCTCCCAGACTAATCCCAACCCCAATCACTTTGGAAATAGGCAGTGGATGGACCGGGAACCTTAGCTAACCCTAACCCCCTAGGCCCTTGTTGCTTACAACCATCCTCAATCCTCCAAAATCCTCCAAAATTTTTCAACTCCGCCTTAATGTTTCAAAATTGTCAGACAGTCCTGCCTCAAAATGCATTCATCCTCAATCCTCCAAAATCCTCCTCATCCCAAAACTTTGCACTCGTGTTTAAATGAAGGATAACCAACGCCACATCCTTCAAAATCATCAGACAGTCCTGCCTCAAAATGCATTCATCCTCAATCCTCCAAAATCCTCCTCATCCCAAAACTTTGCACTCGTGTTTAAATGAAGGATAACCAACGCCAAATCCTTCAAAATCATCAGACAGTCCTGCCTCAAAATGCATTCATCCTCAATCCTCCAAAATCCTCTTGTGCTTCAATCACCATTCATCCTCAATCCTCCAAAATCCTCATGTGCTTCAATCACCATTCATCCTCAATCCTCCAGAATCCTCATTTGATTCAATCACCATTCATCCTCAATCCTCTAGAATCCTCCAAAACCGCCAGGAGGATTTTGGAGGAGTGAGGTGGGTTAGGGTTAGTCTAGGTCTCCCCCAACTCTCCTTTTCTGGCCAGACTTGTGCACGGAGCCAACAGACAGATAAAGTGAGCCCCGCAGTGCTATCGTATAGGATTCCACCATAACACAAAAAATTGGGCTAAATCTGACAAATCATGTAGACCAGATGCATGAACAGACTTCCAGTGAATAGTCATTCTGAATCAACTGAATATAATTTTCTGCACTGGCCTTACCATGAGTACGAGTATGAGTACGTTCTCACGATCACAAGTACGAGTGCGAGTCCATCAAGAAAAAAAAATATCTGACAACACGTATCTCTACTTTTGCAAATTGAATCAAATAACGAGTTCAAAATAACCGAGGTCATCTGTCCAACAGTGTGCTGGCCAGTCTCATTCAGAAAAAATTAACCCTTCCTGCCTGTCAATCAGAAAGGGTCGATAAGCCAATCAGATCACAAGCTTTTGGTCAGGTGATCAAAACTTGGTTACAAGCACTGTGGGAAATGTACACAGACCAAGGAAGGTAGGAGGGGCTTGTGGCTACTGAGGCTGAGTTCAGACTACTCACCGTTCAGCTTCTTACGCAGCAGCTTCTCGGCGTCCTCCGGCTCAAAGTCTCCCTTGAACTTCATGGCCCGGGTGACGGACACGCCTAGTCTGGTGCCGAACATCAGACAGGTGTAGTCTGTAATGGACCCGCCCTCTGGGTAATACGCCACTTCCATCTCCGTCTTCAGCAGCTGGGCCCCGAAGCAGCGATGCAGCAGCTCAAAGCTGGGTTCCAATTCAAAAAAAAAAATCACGTTAAAAAACAAGAAAACATTCTTTCCTTTCTTTGAAGTGAAGTAGATTATGATCATCCTGTCAATTTCCTTTTTTATCCCCCTGGCTTTCAACTTAGACAGGGGGATATTGCGATCATGTTTTCCTTCTGTGTGTGTGTGCCATTTTGGTTAGGTTCACTGTAAGTTCAGTCATCAATCTCAACCAATCGTGAAAGGTGGTCTGTAGAGAGAAGGCCGACATCAAACAAAATCCTTTCCAATATGGATATTTACGAGTTCTCTGGAGAGCTCGGCTCAGTATTACTAATGACTCCAACACATGCGGTGGCAAGGGGAACGCAGCAAGATTAGGCCACACTGAGTCCCATGTCTCCCCCAAACTCCCCATGCAACTCAAACTCCCCATTCAACTGAGAACTGGTACCTGCCGGATGGACAATCAAGGCCGTCACTGAAAATTGTCCTTTCTAACTGCTTACTTGCAATATTTTTACGTAAGGGATCGTTACCTGAGAACCTCGGAGTCTACGGAGTTTCCACCGGCGTTGGGGATGTTTAGGATCTTGAAGCCACCCGCGGACAGGTCCATCATAGACACGTGACGGAAAGACTCAAACTGGGTCCAGATGAAACCTCGCTCATTGATGTTGGTCACATGACGCTGGAATCTGGAGGAAGTGATACGTACATTAGAATAGGGATCAATCAGCAAAGATATTCAACTTGTGAATCCGACACAAGTCTGACTCAAGTTTGCTGACTCGGACTCGGACTGAGTCACTATTAACAATGACTCGGACTCCTTGTTTCCATCACTTTACCCGTCCGCAGATGAGTTTCGTGTTTGTCAAATTTTATCTTCAAGTTTTTAAGTGACTTGAACTTGGACTTGACATTTGTGACTTTTGACTCGCACTCGACCCAAATGACTTGAACTCGATACTGAGGACTTGGACTGTGAAACAAGGTCAAACAGCAGTCCAAGTTGAGGCAATTTGCTCCTTAGATTTTATGATTTTGCATCCCTTAGTACTGAAGTTGGTTCAGTGTCACAACCCTCCTGGGGTACATGATTATAGACTACAGCGCGTCCCAAAATACCCGCAACTTTTTTTTGCAAGGCTCTGGCGCGGAAAAACTTTCAAACCTCTTGAAAATCAAACCAATAAGTTAAGATTCCAAGCTTAAAAATTATATAAAAATAATGGTGGTACATGTTTCCGCGGCGACGCTAGAGCCTCATAAAAATGTGGTGGGTATTTTGGGACCAGCTGTAGATAAAAAGAGGCCCTTGTTTACCGGAAATTATGATGAAGTCGCACCGCAAAATTGATGCCTATGTACAGATGCACGGGCGGGGATGGGTTCAGAGCGTGATGTACCCGCTTTCGCTTCGTTCCGTTGTTCCGCTTCACGTAAAATAACTTGCTGATGTCGGTCGTTGGGGTGGTGGAAAACACAACTAACTGCCCACTGGGGCTTGTCCCCGCAGGGTTCCCCATGCTGCTGGTCCGGCGGCCGTTGCGAGTGGTACCCCCGGTAATTTCGCGACCCTCGTTTCCGACAAACAAGATGCGTCATGGGCACGGTCATGGGGGTGTGGGACTGGGGACGCGTCTTGCGGTAATGGTGGTGGTGGCGGGTTGGTGTGACGTCGCGGTTTATCATCTTGAATGCTTCTTTTCAACCTTTTCTGCGGCGAGTTGTATGGAGGATTACACTGTTGATCTGTAGCAGGGGAAACAAAATACAAAATTCTTACATTTCACACGGGGACAAAAACATTAAACTGAAAAGAGTCCAATTTTTGTTAAAGGTTTGGCGCAGTAAAAAAAAAAAAACATGTTTAGCGTCCCATCCACTTCCTTTTTGTCGGCCGCTTGGATTTATCTATTCATTTATTTTTGATAAAAAAGCAAAAATGTCAACCGATCCATCATAAAATCAAATACTTGTAATTTGTAACTTCTAATTCTAGACTCTATTGGTCACTTCGAACATCATGCAGTCGACCCTGCAATCTTCAAATCAGCCTCAGCGTAGACGAGAATGCCTGCACGGCAATTTTTCTCTCTCTTGTAAAACCGTGCTAGAAAACTATTTAGAAAACCACTATCTTGAAAATAAAACAAAACAAAAAAAGCTCCGCCTCCTTTTTTTTTTTCTTCAAAATTTTGATTTTTTTTTTTACTTCACGTTAAAGGTTAGGCCAAAAAAAAAATATTCGGTCTCTGGTCAGACCAAAGTTCCGGAATTGACGCGGGGACGCGGCTTTTTTTTTTTCTTCAAGCTTGGATTGTACAGACAAGGTGGGGTACTATTTTGCTTTTTTTGGTGTCCTCGTGTACACTGGTGTCCTCCATAATTTGCCTTGGTGCTCTCGATCATTTGCCTTGGTGCAATTTCCCATTCCTTGGTGCTCTTTGGTAAAAAAAAAAATGAGGAGGTGCGGCAATAGAGGGCACTGTTGGAGCTACCGCGGAACATTTTGGGGAAAAAAAAGATTGACGCGCATGATTAAAATCGACGCGCGCGCTGACCAGAGACCGACTTATTTTTTTTTTTGGCCTTAGTTACATTTTTTTTGTTCAGCCAGGAGTTTGTTTTTCAACATTTGTTTCAAAAAGTTTTTGATTTGTGAAAGGTATTAATGTATTATTTAGGGACTATGCCAAACTGTTTAGCTTCTGTGTACTGTAACATCCTGGGAAAATTTTGAGACAAAAAAAAAAGTTCTCAAGATTTCCAGAAGAAGTTTCATGGAAACTTTAGATTAGATTAGAAATGCCCTACCTAAATGTTCAAGTGTTTGGTAACTGTGTTTTGAAGTCCAATTGGCCAATGTGTTTCCAAACCAAAAAACAAAAGAAGTTTCAAACATTGTGAATATCTCAAAAGTAGCAAACAAAATTGAGCCTGCACTAGGGCAAGTCCATTATGCCATGAGAGGGAATTCCTCTGCAGTTACTGCCTGCAATATACAAATATCTTGTCAAAATAAATCCATTATTTATTTAACAACAAAAAAACCCTTAAATTTCCTTTAAGGTACTCTTATTAAATTCAACACTGTTAAGAAAAATCAATCCTGACTGCAATTTCCAACTTCAGTTTACTTCCCTTTAAAAAAAATCGTCTACAGCCCCGAATCAGTTAAAGAAGATGAAATAATATTCTGCAATTAAATGTGGGGCTCAATTTAAAACAACAAAGAATGTAGTCCGAGTAACAAAGAATGTAGTCCGAGTAACTTGGACCCAACTTATCGCCTTTTTTAACATTTGGACATGGTCTGGCGATCGCCAGACCATGTCCAAATGTTAAAAAAGGCGATAAGTTGGGTCCAAGTTACTCGGACTACAAAGAATGTGTGACGAAAACCCGTACTCTCTTCAGTTTCATAATAAATTTAGGAAAGTAAAAAAAAACTGTTCAAAGATTACCAAAAAAGTTGTCATTACATTCATGACATTGAGAGAAGTCTGCTTTAGGTTGACAATGTTATTTTTTAGTATAAAACAAGTTCTTGATTCTATTTTGATCGAAACAAAACGGGGGCCAGAAAAAAAAACACACAAAAAACATCATCTCAGAATCTCTCATCTGCTCATGGCATGGCATTACAGAAAAAGACTCACCTTCGTTTCTTGGCCTCACATTTTACTGAATGTCACCTACATATACATGTACTTGGGCTGCAGTATCAGTAGCAGTACGAAACTCAAGACTGTATTTCACAACAATTGCATCATGCAGAATCCTGCGGTTTATAACGGCTTCTGTGTTTTGATAAGTACCGAATGTTGTTAAAATTAGAACCCGGAAGCTACCTCATTTTCTAAAATTAGATATGACGTCAACGTGTTGCCTGTGATAGCGCCACCCATCGTCCACCGTCCTTGTAAATATTGGCGTGGGACTTGCGTCAATTCGTTTCTATTTCTAAAGTTCTTTCTAAAAGTTGAGTTTCTTTTAAATACAGGCTATGATAGAGTTGTTAAAGGCGGGGGGGGGGGGGCGCAGGGTGCCTACAAATTGTTTGTATGATTCATCATAAATGTACGCATGCAGACTAATTCACCCCCCCCCTCCCCGGCGGCCGGCGTCCATTACTAATTCCAAAAACATTTAGGTTCAAAAAGTTGTGGCTACCTAATGATAGAAAGAAAATTATATTAGTATTTTTGCAAGCCCCGCCCAAATTTAAAACCAGATTATACCCTATGTGATTCAAAGTTACCTACTCTTAAAAAAAACAGTGTACTACCCGCACCTAGGCGTATCCCCCCCCCCCCCCCCCCGGCCCCCTCCTTCCCTTTAAGCATGCAATGGAAGGGGGGGGGGGTCGGTACTTTAGGCAACTGTTACTAGTTACTGATGGCGCCCATCAACTTAAGTGATGTTAAAATAATGCAATTAGGAATACCGCAATGATTGCGTTCTCTTCTCAATTTTGTATGTTTTGTTTTGTCGGGGAAAAAATAACTGATTTTCGGTGTCTTCATATCCCTCTGAAAAAAACCCAAAAGACTTTTTATTTTGCGCACAAGTTAACCCGCCCTGCAATGCTAAAGCCGAGTTATTGTCTGCGGCAGTTTGATTTTTGTGGAGATATTCTGAATAACAACAAGTCGGCTGAGTAGTTTTTGTTTGATGACTCATTCATTGGGCAATGTAAGTTGCCCAACATTGGTTTGAAATTACCTCATTGTGGGTTGATTTGAGTAAAAATTGTCCAACTATTTGGGAAGAATATTGCCCAAATGTTTAACCTGTTGATATGTTGACCAACACTGGTCTACATCAACCCATTTTGCCCAACGTGTTTACAGTGTTCAATTAATTAAGTGCATGTGTCATTAACTTTTCCTATTGCTATGAAAATAGCAACTTGGAAAAAAATTATATTTTCTGTAATACTTGTCTACATAATGGACACAAGTATTACAGAAAAGAGAAATTTCTTCGAAGTGTTTCTTTTCTATTCAGAGCATCTCATCCTGCCAAATCAAAGAAAGATGTGTATTTATCCAACATTTTCTTGAACCTTGAAGAAATGTGCGTTTTTAATAAAGTTGAGTTGTACTTTAATAACTTGAAATCAGAACCTACATATTTCCTGATAAATAAGTCTAGTTTGTTGATCGTTTTAATCTTGGAATCGTGACTTTTGGCCGGCCGGACTTTAGTCGCTGATAGCGTTGACGGTTCTTGCATGCGTCAGAGGGCAATGTCTACAAACGTAAATAACGTTTTTACTTTTTTATTTAACTATGAAAATAGCAATTGGAAAAAAAATCATCTATTTTTAGAGGTCAAACTCGAAAATACCGTACGGGCCAGGAATGTATCTTTCCCCATGATTTTGTGGGCGAAAACCGGTCGTAAATTTTCAGAAAAAGTGTGTAAAAATGCACTTTCATTTCCAAAGAAGTTGGAATTCATTCTCATTGACTCAAAGCCAGAAACTAGCAGTGGCGGCGCCAGACTCTAAAACAAAAATGGGGGGGGGGGGGGGGAGAGGGGGAGGGGGGGGGCAATTAGGGGCAAGGAAATATTTGGGGAGGGGCCGGGGGGCAGTCAAAATTTAATCTGACTAATCAATGGTCCGGAAACTTTGTAAGCGACTATTATAGCAGATATAAAGCTAGAAGTGTAGTCGTTTTTATGAATGAGAAATGGAAATGGTTTTTAACAAAATATATATATCAAAATGTACGAAGACGTTGGCTAGGCTGCACACTATTTTCGGCTCTAAATTCATGTGTGGCGGGTTTTGTCTACCAAAGTGCGAATGTTTATAATGATTTCATTGGCCCAACATGACTTGTGTCCACAGAACCGATACGGCGTATGAATCTTAAAACAGCGAAGAAAATGAAAACATAATTAGTTTATTAGTAGATAAAGTGTGTTGAGGGAAAATTGGGGGGGGGGGGCAAATTGGGGGCAATTAAGGAAACAACTTGGGGGTGCCCCCCCCCCCCCCCCCCCATAGCGCAGCCACTGGGGACTAGACGTTTTAAAGTGAAATTCAGTCAGTCGAGTTGATCAAGCTTGCACTCGAGTTTATGCTTGATTCTTTCTTCTTCTTTTTTCAGAGTATTTCAACTAAAGTTTAGAGTGATATTCTCTCTAAATCGTCTTGTCCCTATGGTTTCACTCTTCGCAAATTAGAGTAACCATAATTGACTGTTCCCCCTCCCCCAATACTCCCCCCCCCCCTCAAAAAAAATCAAGATGTGCTGACCGAGATGTATCGATGGTATTAACTCCATAAGCTTATAATAAGCATTAATTTCTTTACATTCTGAAGCATAAACTTTTGTACATGTATCAAGACAGCTGCAATATAGCCATAGACAAACAGTATAGCCTGAAGAAAGTTTCGTTATAGCGCCACCATCCTGGATCTCGGAGGAAGTGCAAACATTACGTATGCATTATTCAATGATCACGTGAACGCGGAGCGCGTCATGCATATGCCGAACACAATAAGCTACGAACAAACGAATGCATGCAGTGTGTACATGGAAAGCCCAGGCGCTCATTTACATGGGACATTAATTCTCGGCAGCTATCGGAACCTTCACTTTCTCAGGCCCTGAATCCGCCAAAACGTCCCGACTCGTCGCTAAAAACCTGCCCGGAACGTGTCCCATGCCGCCAGTTTAACCTTCGCGGTCCTAGTCCATTTCCAGACGCAGCACCAGGTGAGATTTTTGACGTTGTCGCCCCTCATTATTTTTCGGAATGAGTCGGGATTTGTCCAAGTCTGACGCAGCACGCGGAACCGGGCAGCGCAACGTCGAGGTTTTAATATTCAAAATGGGGGACCCGACTGCCAACAAGCAGCAAGAAGATCAGCGAGGTATGAATTGTTTTACATATTCATATTTTGCCATTTAGCATAAATTCATAATATCGCGGCAGCATGTGTCATAAAGTTGGGGATTTGCATGACACTTTGAGCTCGGTTTTGGAGGAGTTTTTCCACGGGGGAGGGGAGTTAAAAGGTGGAATTAAACGGCCAGAATTTGTAGGCCTATGTCTTGACATGTCACCACATCATTTCGCCATATATGGAGACGCCCTTCGTGCCATCTTACTATAATTCCAGGAATCTCTGTCTGTCTGTCTGTCCGTCGATTATCTCCAGAACCGGGCACCGTATGAAGTTGAAAATCGGCGGGTATATTTTTCGGGACAACAGAATGTGCAGTGCAAAGTTTGAAGTTGTTTGGACCAGCGGTTCTCGAAAAAGCTGCAAAAAGCAGTATTTTCGGAGGCAAACGTGGCAGTATATAGCTTAGAACATAACACCCGCACGCACTGCCGTTCTTTTCAATTGTTTACGTCATGTTTAAGCTAAAGCGCGCGTGCTCAATATGACGCTAACAATGCAAAAAGGACGGGCACGCGCACGTGCATTGCAGGGCGATACATTGTCCAGTATGGGTTAATACTAATGGATCAATGGGTGAATAGCACTGCATACCATGTTTCCTTATGTACACGGGCACATTATTTTTGCAGTCGACTGAGCGACCATTGTAGGTGGTCGAACTTCAAACTTGGCAAACATTTTGACGTAAGTGTGCGTTCAACCTGTGAAAGCAACACCATTGAATCGCGTGCGTTGTTTGCACGAGCAGTTCTCCAAAACTCTGCAAGTATGCAACCTACACCAGCGGCAAAGCAATTTGCGTTTCCCGAACATGCACATTTTAGACGGGCACTGCACTAGTTGTGAATAAATTGAAAAAAGGTGGTTGCACCTGTAGCGGGATTTTTCCTTGGGGAGGGGGGGGGGGGGTTGCCGGGACGGAGGGATTGTTTTTTTAATTAATGGGGGAGGGGATCACAGGAAAAAAATTATGAAACCTTATTTTCTTTTCTTTACTTTAGTTTAAAAATAAAATTAGTGAACAATCAACAAACCTATTATTTTGGCGTCCGGCCTAGAATCCTCCATAATTCGCTGAAGATAACACTTTGCAATGCGCGCTCGTTGTCAAATAGAAATTAAATGAGAGTGTGTAAAAATAGGATTGCATATTTTTAAAGGTCTGACAATAAATCTACTTTTAATTTCACGGTAAATATGCGCCATGTTGCTTACAGCACAAATTTACACGCGTTGCTGTGTACGCATCGTCAATCGAAAACTTGTGCGCTTCGAAGTCATCATGCGTTTGTTCCAAAATGCGCCCTCGTGTAGCCATGCGTGTTCTTTTTGCCCTGTGAACAAGATACGATACATGAAAGTGCTTATTAGAATTAGACACAGCAGAATTACATTTTGTAACTTTTTGTTCAGATTTTATAATTTCAATTTCAAATGCAACGTTATCTGTGCAGCACATCCAACATGTCCAAAGTATAACGTTCCCCACGCTTGCTACAACAAGTTACATTTTTAATTACATTGGGGAAACAGCAGAGTTTTTTTTTCTTGCATGTTTATTGGCAAAGACTAAATTTATTTTTAAACCTTTGCTTTTTCTTTAATGTTTGTGTTTTTAACTAGTAAACTACTATTAATTACAATGAGACTCACCTCAGTAAGTACGGTACCGGGTATGTTGAAAACCAAGAGGAATATTGAAATGTCGTGGAAAGAGGGCAAGGCTTTGAATCTTTGTGGGAAATGTTACAGCAATCATATGCACACGGCCAAAACAAACCAAAAACTGCTTCCGGTTTCCCTACCTACCCTATTCTGACAGCCCCTACCCCGTTTTTTTAAGGGAAAATTGAGAACAAAACACCCAAAACCATCAATTACCACCTTTTACCCTTGACTACAAGCAGACACCTCCATATGATCGTACAAAAAAAAAAGCCAAAAAAAAAAAGAAATTAGCTTCCCACCTACCCTATTTTCAAAAGCAATGTAATCAGAAGCAGATTTTTTTTTTTGGCCAAATAAATACACAAAATCTAGTTGATTCGCATGGCGCCCATGGACAATTGCTAACAAACTAACAATTTCTACCTAAAAGACACATCAGAATTAAAAGAAGATTGCTCTCTATTTTTGGGGGGGGGGGGGGGTGGGGGGGGGGGTAAGGTTTTAGAAATCATTTTAGAGTGGAAATATAGGCCTAATACTTGACTTGAAGGACGAAGGGGGGTTTGTGTGTTTACGGTACCCCAACCAACCTGGACTTTTAGCAGCCAACTTTGGACCTCAAACATTTTAATGTCACTTTCGACCAAAAATGTTAAATGCAAATGTAAACTATGTTTTGAAAATAAAAAAGTCTTTCCTATACAACTTGATTTGTGTGTTTGCTTTAAATTAAACAGTTAAACAGGTTAATTAAGCAGGTACATGTACGTATGTACATGTACCGGTACGCATGTATCAATAATGTAAAGTAAAGACCGACTGGCAACCCAAACAAAAGTTACAAAATAAAACAAAAGGAAATATTCCCGTATCTGGCCGTCACTAATTTTTTCTCTTCAGTGACCTATCGGCTATCAGAAAGTGATAGGCCTAATAATTATGTCCTACAATGTCAAACTTAGCATGGAAAATATTGAAGCATTTACTGAGAAAAACTAAGAAATTTTCAGACCAGTCTCATAGGGTTTGTGCACAGGGTGACAAGTTATATTTCATATGGGAATCTTCCCAGACAAAATTCCAACCTTCCAACTTGGATAATTTTTAGCGAGTTACCATAAAAACACATATTTTTTTGGTTGGCATAGCAATTGCCTGTAAACATGGTAAACCAAAAATCATCCAATGGCATGCGAAGATACTTGAATATTGAGTGAAAATTGTGTGAAATGTAAAAAAAAATTTGAAAAAATGGAAATTGCTATTGAACAAGTTGAGGCCTATTGTTTATTTTATCAGTTTTTTTAAACATAAAAAAACAATTAGGAGGATAAACAATTAAAAACAATTGGGAAGGTTAAAACAAAACTTGGTTTGTTTTTTTTAAAACAAAAGTTGGTGTTTTTTTGTGGTGGGCAGTTCCTTGTTTACTACTTTTTTTCGAGCCGTTTTAATCTTCTGTTGTTAAATAACATCTTAAAAGGAATTGACATGAATTCATCGTAAATATACATGTATTTGGCAAAATGTGCTCGGAAAAAAACCCTAGCTTTGATATGGCAGACTCATTGTGTCCGTGCATTCTGTGTGCGACGTTGTCATGCATATGTATGGCCTTCGCGCCACCGACGCGGGAATAAATTGGTTATCTCTCTTTCAAGTGAAAAAAAAAATTTACATTTTGTATTGAAAGCTTGCATTTATGCATTATGCATGGAGTTAAAAGCATGCAGTGCTGCATATATACCTGGGCTCACAGTGAAGAGAAATTCAGCGCTTTGGCCTGATCACAAATTGACTTTGAGCTGAAATATAAACTCGGAAACAAGCTGCCGGGCGTCGGGTAAGTCCTTGAATTACTGGTTTTCTCCATTTACTTGTGGTTGTATCTTTACAAACTTTTAGAGATTGCTTAGAGTTTCATAATTTACCATAATATTCATTCTCATTGAGAATTCTTCATGCAAATGAGATGGTACTTTCAGTGGAGTAGCATTGATTTCATGTACTGCAGCTTCAAATTGACAGCAGGTTTAAAACTCCGTACTGTGCCAAAATGACTTATGAACAAATGAAATAAATGCTTGATTCCTTTTTTTTTTTAAGTTGTACCGTAGTAAAGAGTTTTGAGGAGAATTCACGATACCGGCCTTAATTGTGCCAAAATGTCTAATCAGAAAAAATGAGGGTTTTGGTTTTGTCAGGATAGCCCAGAGTGCTGTGCTCGGATTTTTTTTTTAATTGTTCAGTCAATATTCGCAGCTGTTATCATTAATTTGCATAAATATTTACATAAATGTTAATTCTCTCCGTCTGGCGTTGGTAGATCTTTTCCAGCACTTGAGGATTGATTTAATTTTAACATTATAAATATTATTCATGTTTTACAATTGATCAAAATACAAATTTCAATAAAGAAACATCATTTGAATGGCTCCGTGTTCTAGTTCAATTACTTTTACCAGCTTTTTTTTGTGTGTCCTTTCTTTGATTAGGAGAGACACTGTTTGCACAGTTACAGGTATATATTTAGAGTACAGTTTTTCCCAATAGGCTAGTTTGCTGAAGGGACTTGGTAAAACACACCATTTTCTCGGAACGGACACTAGAAAAATCTCATATTGTCACAAAAAGCAGTTTAAAGGGAATATACAACATTTGCAAACATCGAAAAATAAAACTACCAAGTTTTTATGAAAAACCTTACTAGGATGTTGGTAAATGACAGTCTAAAGCATCCTGTAAAATTATGGTACCTGGTGTGAAGTCATTTTCAAGAAAATTGTGTATACATTTCAAACGGTGGTCGGCCGACCACCGTTGGAAAAACCTAACTATTTTTCAACTACTGCTCCAACTTTACACTTTTTTTCAGTCCAAATTTTGTTTGCTTTGGTTACATGTTCATGAGCGGGTGCAGTCCAGCTAGACTGGTTCCCTTACCTTACAATTTTCCGGCATTTATAAATTGATCCATTTTATCTTTAGTGGAGTCAAGGAACCAGACTACTTGAACATTTTTGTTTTTCTTAGTTTTTCCAGCATTTTCGAACACAAAACTTCAAACATGTCAGTGTAACAATATTTGATCTATTATACTAACCCCTCAAATAGTTCATTTCTGAAAATTACAGCAAAAGCCAATGATGTACATTTCCTTTAAAGGTAGCGTTTATCATTTGTAACTTGTACATTACGTGTATGTTCGTTTGAAGCAACAAAGTGCTCAAAATTTATAAGAAGGGTGCTGAACAACTAACCTGATGAAGTTTCAGCTCTGTGAATGCTGTACAATG